GAAGGGACTCATTTTGACCATATCTAGGGTTCAAATTGAACTTTTTTTTGGGAGGGATTGATTATTAAGACGAAATGAATGTGTGTGCAAAATTTGAGGTCATATAAATACCATAAATATTATTTTTTAGAAATGTCGTTGCATTATACTATTGTACAACCGTTGCATTAGGTCACTGCTCCCATTGGGATCCCACAAGCTCTATGGGGACTACAAAGACAGTGTCTCGAGAGTTTTACGTTAAGATTCCTCTCTTCTTTACGACTTACCAAACTTCTATTTGCAAAGTTTCAAGTCTACCAAAACCGCGAACTTGCGGACTCTTTTTTCCCCGCAGCAAATTCAAAAGCTCAATCAAAATTGAATAATCTTCCAGTTTCAAATATAAACACGCTCCCCCGGCAATGCCTTGGTCACTATTTGACATTATTCACCCAACAGTGGACGCATCCATCATGATCATCGTCATCATCATTCGAGCTTTATTCAAACTATTTAGGATTAGCTATATGAATCCTATTATGCTATTATGCTATCTTAAGGTCCGTACCTTTAGTTAGACTGTAGGTCACTATATCTTTTCTCACAACTTCCATTCATGTTCTTTTGGGCCTCACCCTTGCCCTTTTAAAGCCTTACACTTGTACAAAATCAACCATCCTAACTGGTGTTCTACTAGGTCAACACTACACATGCCTAGACCACCTAAGTCTATTTTTTATCGCCTATTAGAGCTACTCTAAGTTCCTTCAGATGCATTCATCCTATAAAGTATGGCTGGTGTTATAGTCGTCCTATAGAACTTCCACTTCAATTTCCTTTATATGCTTATGATTGCATGAGACTCTAGAAGTACATCCCCACTTCATACACCCTCCTCTAATTTTATGCATGACATCTTCATCAATCTCTCAATTCTCTTTGATTATCTGCCCAAGATATTGAAAGTAATATCTTTTAGATACTTTTTAGCCATCATATTAATTAATTCATCGTTTCTATTCCTATTACTAGTAAACTTGCATTTCATATATTCCTTCTTTGTCCAACTAGTTTTAAAACATTCAGATTTTAGAGCATCCCTCCAAAGTTCTAACTTTGTACTGTCACCATCTCTAATTTCATCAATTACATTTATGTCATCCACAAGTAACATACATCATGGTACCTTATTTTATAGACTCCTAGTTAACCCATTTATAACCAAGGCAAAGAGATATGAGCTCAACATTGGTCCCTGATGTATGTTTACTGCTATTGAGAACTTAGTTGTCTTTCTACTAGTTGTCCTCACACTAGTTAGCGCTCTCTCATACATATCCTCAACATGTCAATATATCTGGGAAAGCTTTTTGTACGACGCCAACAACATATAAATTATATGTGACCCCACTTCTCAACCATTCGATCTAAATTGACGGCTAAGATTGCTCATGCAGCAATGTCACGTCAAAATACTATTTGATTTTAAATTTTTTCTACTAAACCTTTTTTACTGAAATTTGGAATGTTCCATCTCCTTTCTGGAGCACACCTAAAAAATAAATAACTAAAATGCCCCTAAAAGTTTTAGGGGATAATAATTTTTTATCACAAAAAATGTTCTTTTATTATTTTTAACATGTGTGCCACTCTCAGATTTATGCATGCCCCAAATTTTGTTGCAAAATGATTTATAGAATAAAAATTAAAACTATAACATTTTGAGCAGTCAGATCAAGATTTGATGCTCAAGAGTCTGTTTGTGACATTGTGACTGAAGCTATCTCAACCATCTACTCAAATATAATGATTGATATCAAGGGTCACATATACTATATATGTCGGTAGGGTCACATGCAGTATTCAACAAATCTGTTGGTCTGACTTGGAACTAGCCAAATAAGCCAGAACTAGCTACCCACCCAGCCAATTTTGGGCAATTTAGGTGGTTCGGCCGGTTATTTTTAAAAAAAAAAATTCAAAAAATATATATACAAACTCCCAAAAATAAGGGATTTGCCTTTAATATGTTTTTACTCTTCCTTATCATTTTGGCGAAGATTGAAATGTATTGTGGCCATAAATACTTATTTTAACATTTTTCTCTTATTTTTAGATTATTTTTAAAAATACCCTTGAGCACAAATCAATTTTTTAAAATCCAATTTTTTTTACTATAGTTCAACTTCATTTGGATGTGTTTTATCTAATTATGTTTTAAATATAGTTTTCATATTTTTTGTATTTTTTAACACTTTTTGGCCCACCCGGGACTTGCCCATGGAACTAGTTGGTTTTTGAGTTACTCGGACCCGATCCTTCGCTGGTTTTTTAGTCCAATTCGCTTGGATAGCTTTCCCTTCTTTTTCTAACACTCATTAAATTAATTCTCTAGGTACCTTATCGTATGTTTTTCTCGAAATTAATAATGAGTATGTAGAAGTGTTTGCTCTTCTTCCTAAGTATAAAAACAACATCAACGGTTGACCTTCTTGGCATAAATCCTAACTGATTTTCTTATACATTTGTTTTATACTACAGTTGTTACTCAATCGGTCTCTTCCACAGCTTTATAGTTTGATTCATAAGTTGGATCCCTCTATAGTTCATGTTTGATTCATAAGTTGGATCCCTCAATAGTTCATGTTTGACTCATAAGCTGGATCCCTCAATAGTTCATGCAACTCTGTATATCTCATTTGTTCTTGTAAATAGGTATCATAATATTTTTTCTTCGTTCGCCTGATATTATCTTTGTTCTCAAAATCGTATCCGGACAATGTTTTGCTTACCAAGAACACCATAGTATAAGAATATAAATTTGATCGGGATTTATGATAGAGAAATACACGAGAACAATAATCTGAATTTTCTCTGCACAGATCAACAAACCTTTGTTTTTTGAGTTTAAAGTTTTCGAAAACAATATATGTTGTGTATTGATCTGACCCACGGCACCAGATGGTCCCGCTTGCCTTCATTGCACTAGACTCCTTCGACACAATTTTATGATGCAATTTTGTCTCAACGAAATGGAATAAAAAATCTAAAAATTAGCGAAGGGACTTGGAATCGCCTGAGTCGGCTCGTGTGGGTTAGAATGAGTACAATTTTTTCTCTCTTTTTCTTTAAATAGGTTACATAGAGGGTTAGAATGAGTACAACTTCTTCTCTCTTTTTCCTTAAAAATGTTACATAGGAATAGGAACGGAACTTGAGACGTTAAGCAATGAAAACCTATTTCTTTAAAAAAGTTGCATAGAGGGTTAGAATGAGTACGACTTCTTCTTTCTTTTTCTTTAAAAAGGTTACGGAACTTGAAATGTTAAGCTATGAAAACCTAATCTGTACCATCTTGACTCAAGCCCATTTCCCATTCCATTAAAATGAGTAAAACTCTAGTTAAAGTGTTTGATTATGTAACTATGGTACAACTCAGCGAAATGGAGTCAAAATTCTAAAAATTAGCGAAAAGACTTGGAATCGCCTGAGTCTTGGATAGGTTAAAACGAGTAAAACTTTCGTGAAAGATTTGTGCAAGCTGAAGTGCACTCAAAGGGTAGAGTCCAATAAGCAAAGCAGCACACTGCGCAACTGCAAACTACTATTACAAGTAATAGAAATGAAAGCTTTTTGTTTTTGAATTGGATGGAGAGGGGTTATAGGGATCATACTTCTTTATTTAATGTGAATCTCGTTATTTGATTATAGAAAACAAGGTTAACATAGATCCTACAGTTACAAACACGACACATAAGAAAAATATCATCATCATCCTCAAAGCCTTTTTCCAACTATTTAGAGGTGGCTAACACAAAAAAAATGTAGTGCCATATTATTAAAAAAGGATCGGACCACCCGATCTAACCTCTTAGAGAGCCAACTGGTATCTTAGAAAGTCCACTCCCAAGCAAACATTAATTGGTATCTTGATAGGTCTCATCTAAAACAAAACTGGGTATAGCTAAAAATAAATCAGAACTAATGTTTAACTAGTTTTGGTTAATAGGAGAAACCGGTTTTAACATATGGATACGCATATATATCGTAGTGATACATATCGGTATGGATATGTACAGATAAGTATCTCTTGAGAAGATTAAGATTAAGATATATATCCTACTGATACATATTAGATATATGTATCATACTGATACGTATACATATCTCTTGATAAGATTAAGATATGTATTATAATGATATATATAAGTGTATGTATATGCATCTGTATGAATATGATATATATCCATATAGATGCATATATAATACATATCCTAATCTTATCAAGATATATGTATCCATACCGATATGTATCGGTATGATACATATTGGTAATGATACGTTAACATATTCAACCAAACAATCATTAGTTTTTGGCACTTAGACTTCGCCAACCAAACAATCATTAGTTTTTGGCACTTAGACTTCGCCCGCCAGACATTATTTTTTTTCAAGCCTACATAGAGTGCAATTTGGAAATCCTTTTATTGAGAAGGGCCACTAGATGAATAGGTTACATCCCAGAAGTTTGAGATCCTAAATTAATCCTAAATTGGGATTTACACAAGGGAGTAAATGGACTGTGGATTATAAGCATATTATCATTTGGCTTGTGTGCCTTGATATTAAAGATCATTTGTGACCTGATATTAAAGATGTCATTTCTAATGACAAACAAAAAAAAGTTATTCACATACAAAAAAACGAAAAAAAAATTACAAAGAAAAGTTAATTCAGAAATTATTTCTATTTTGCTCTAGAAAAAGACAGATTATAGTGCAAAACCAACTAAAGTTGCCATTTTTACTCCAACTACTCGAAAAAAAAAAAAACTACTTTTTTTAATGTTAAAAAAAAAAGTTCTTTTTTTTAATTTAAAAAAAAATTTGTTTTTCTGAAAAAAATAAAAATCATTATTTCTAATGCCACAACCACATTGTTGCTCCCCATGCTTTCTTAACCAAAGACATTTTCCCATCTCCACAGATGGGATGGGGCCCTAGACTTTTAGGGAAGTAAAATATAACACAAGCTTCTACCACAATGCAACCTTCAGTTTACAACTGTTCCTCTTCCTCTCTAAGACCTCAAAAACAGGCACTTACAAATTCAGACATGGACTCAAACTTCTTATATATTGAGGATAACGTATAATTTTCTTTCGTGGGATACGCATTCAATTATACAAAATGTTAAAATACATTACAAAAAAATAAGTAATTTCTCACCTGATGCCCTCAAACTCCCTCCGAATGATCTCAAATACAAGTTCATTCCACGTGTCGATGGGCCCCGGCATGCACCAATGCAAGCAATCCTGAGGAGGCGGCTCCCCATGTGGGCCCCGCTTTGTCTTCTTGTTCGGGTCCGGGCTCCTATATGGGCCCGGGTGCCCATCAGGTCTATACCCAAACATCTCTGTTATGTCCATGAACCTCAATCTTGAAGCCCCATGGCTCCCCTTCTTTAGAGCTTTCTCAAAACCCTCCTTTTGTTGAGCGTGCATTCTCTCAGTAAACAAGTTCTCAACCAATTCTCCCACTCGCAATGGCCTCACTTTTCCGGTGCAAGAGCCCCCAGTGTTCCACTCCCCACCTTCATAGTGATCAGGAGAATAAGCTCTAACAATGGCTACGCCAGTAAAATTGGGGTGAGCAGCAATGCTGGAGAGAGAGGTTTGGACCGAAATTCCATAGGCTTGGACATTGTCTATCTTTTTGGGGCGACTAGGATCTGGCCACCAAAGCTGGCCTCCTAGGATTTCATTGTTTAGGATATAAGCTGATTGCTTTGCGAACCAATGACCAGAGGAGAGAACAACAACATCGAAGGAGGGGAGGAAGTCCATGAAGGTTTCGTCAGGTTTGTCGAGATGGAGCTTTGCGATGCCGGCAGGAGCGAATGAGAAGGGCTCAGAGCTTTGGTGGACGAGCCATGACGACCAGATACGTACAATTGTGACTGAGTGGGAGCGAAAGAACCAGCGTTGCATCTTACGGCTGCCTCGATTCCTTGGGGTTTCAACCTGCGGAGAGACAGTGATCTGTTGGACAGGTTTCTAGTATTTTTGGATAGAAAGAGAGAGAGGGGGTAAATGTGATTTCCCAGATTGTTTTCTACTATTTGTGGAGAGGGAAAGGGTGATTTGTTGACCTGTTTTCGTACTGATTTTGGAAGGAGGGGGGGGGAGGAGAGAGAGAGGAGGGAGGGATAGTAGAAGGTTCAAAACCCAGCTGTGTGTACGTGTGTGTGAGAGAGAGAGGTTAACCTGCCAGAGAATGCACATCATGGACTCCATTTGGTTCCGAGCAACAGAATCACCTACAAAAGCAAGTGTCTTCCCCCGCATTAATTCCAAGAACTTTTTGGAATCAAAATGTGGAAGATCGCACTGATGAGGTTTCCATCTCCAGTTCTCGTACTCTTTATCGGGCCGTCCATTCCCTTGACAATTCTGCATTTGCGTGATAACAGGGCATGTGTTGTTCGTGTACAATGGCCCAGTCTGATCGTAAACCCACTTGCCATGGTATAAATCACACACTCCTGAAGAAACCAAGATGCTATTCTACTCAAAATTCCAAGTCATCAAGTTCAATGTTAAAAGACGTGCATAGAGATAAAAAAATTCGATTTTAATTGGTGCAATTTTTCATTTAGAACATGAACTCAAATTTTACAGATTTTCAGAATCTCTTGCCGAATTAATTACCAAAGAAGCAATATAATAAATCAAAAGTGTTTATGCTTACATCAGTGCAAAATGTACATTAGCTCCCCCGCTGAAACCCTAGTTATGAGTATTTTTAGAACCCAAATTTTGGGCATGTAACCTACACAACCTAGTGACCAACCTTTAGTGTTTTAAAAAAACAAAACAAAAAAGCACACACTGAAAATTTCAGGTCCAAGGATTGAACAGAGACCGTCCAATTTTGGGATCGCCAGATCTAGGCATAGTTTCAAAAAGTTTCAAAAAGCGCTAGGCACCTCCATGGCCGCCCAGTGCCTAGGCGGGCGCCCAAAACCTGAGCGGCCCAGTTGAAAAAAAAAAAAATTTATGAGTGATGACCAATAATAATTAATCCATAAGATTTTTTATTATCCATAAGACCATAATTCTAGTTAAAAAAAATAGATAGAACTCGAGAAGAGAATTTTGATAGTCCATAAGACCATAATCTATATTTTCATACAATGCTATATTTTCATACAATGCTAAAACAGTAAAACCATAATCCATATTTTCATACAATGCTAAAACAGTAAAATCATACAAGCATAGACTGATAATATGATATACTGTAGATACAAAAGTTAGATAGTAGAACTAGAAAGTAGAAATTAAAAATAAGAAAAAGAAAATATATAGAAATTCAAAAAATAGACAGTGTAGAACACAATAGTCAACACTCAACACAACAATCAACACTCAACACCAAGTGTCATCAGTCATCACTCAGAAGGAATAGGATAAGCTTCATCATATGCATCAAAATCGAGGCTATCTTCATCAGAGTCATCACCCTCTTCAATATAGCGCGCATCCTCCTCTGTTTCTTCTGAATCTGCCTCTTCCTTCTCTTCTTCTACCTCCCTCTTACTAGTATGTGAAGATGAGTCCCTAGGAGTCTTGGCTGCTCTACCATTTTCTATCTTTTTGTACTTCCCTGAACTCAATATTGTATAATTTCCTCCCTGGTAGCCTCAAGAACATTTTACATGGGGCAACATCCCTTTTAATACCGGTAAAGTATTTTTTAAACCAGTAAATCCCCCCATTAGCATCATTTCCACAATAATTACATATAATACGATTTTTGTCATTTGGATTTGGGTTATAACCATACTTCCAACCCGAATCACCACTTCTAGAAGAACCTGGAGAAGATATTCCGTACAACAAGGCTCATTTTCATCATTTTCTGGTTCTTTTAAATTCAAAAGTTGCCTAATCTCTTCTCGAATAGCTTCAAGAACCTTTTTACAAGAAGCAACATTCCCTTTAACACCAGCACGGTGTTTCTTGAATCGGTTAATACCACCATTGGTATCTTTTTCACAAAAATTCCATCTTATACAATTTTTATCGTTTTGTTTTGGGTTATAACCATACTTCCAACTCGGATCACTTCTTCTAGAAGTAGAAAAAATAGATCTATTCAAATGACAAGGATTTTGTTCCTGTTTTTGTTTTACAAAACTCATATATTACTTAATCTCCTCTCTAATAGCTTCAGGAACATTTTTACAAGGGGCAACATCCCCCTTAATACCGGCAAGATGTTTCTAAAACCGGTTTATGCCCCCTTTCGTATCTTTTCACACATTTGGATTCGGGTTATAGTCATATTTCCAACCCAGATCTCCACTTCGACTAGATCCTGAAGAAGACATCTCAAAATAAAACAAGCAATTTAAAAAATAAATTTTTGCACTTACTTTGATTG